CCTTTCAGCTGAAGTTAATGAAACATAAGCTTCTTGGGCCTTACCCACCAGCATACTTTGCAGCAAAATGGAGCAATCTAGATCACTCTAGTCATTGTCCTCCGCCATGTCCTCAAATAGAGAAAAAACACATCTGGATGTTTATTAAACTTGAGTAACAGCTTCAACATGCTAACCCAGTTATATCCAGAAAACCCATCACCACTTTGAGACATTTTAAAAGATCCACTACTTAACCTGCCCTCAGACCTCAACTTCAAACGCTCAGCTTCTAGAGATAATTTCTTCACTTCCAACTCATGTACTAACCTCTTTTCTTCTTGCTCACGCACTAGCCTCTTTTCCTGTGAAGCTAGTTTTCTCACTTCAAGCTCATGTGCTAGCCGTAATTTTTCCAACTCAAATTGCATTTTCATCCCACTTCTCTCAAATTGAAACTTTAATTGAGAAGCTTGAGATACTGTTGGACCTGAGAATTCATCCTCCAACTTTGAGGCACCAGTTAAAGGATCTGAACCATCGGAAGTTACATCTGTCACAGCAGCATCTGAAAGAGAAACAGTAAAGACATTCAGTTTTACAAGTTTGTCTCTTAAGAAACTCCTTAGTTGAGGTAACTTTAATCCTTTTGCAGCTTTAAGATAAATTTTAAAGTGTTCAGCTACGTGACGAATCTGCTGCTTTGTAAGCTTTTAAACATTTCCAAAGTTGGGGGAGACAAAAAAGAACCTTCATTATCCATTGTCAAACCAAAATAATCAAACAAACCAACTTCCAAAACAAAACTAGTCACTTTTTTTTTATATATATATATTTTTTAACCAACGACCATAAGGAAGTGCATGAATGGTACAAACAAATGGCAAAACTCCATTATGCTGCCACTAACTAACTGACCAAAACCCTGACTAACCTTAGCCTAGTCTTCAGGCTTTCCTCCAAGAGCCAAGGCACTTTAAGCACCAAGATAACGCTGGCAGCAAATCCCTCCAAGCCAAAACCTCTCAGGCAGCAAACCATGGCGGTGCCCTCAGCCCAGAATCCAGCTCAAAAATAACAAACTAAAATAATAAACAGGGTTGTCTAAAAGGGAGTTGCCAAAACAACAAACAGCACTTACCTACTACAAAACAAAAAGTCCTCTCTCTCCCCCCACCAACAAAAGTACAAAAAAAAAAAATTATATATATATATATATATATATATATATATATATATATATATATATATATATATATATATATATATATATATATATATATATATATATATATATATATATATATATATACACCTTGTTTCACCTGGCCAAACAAGGTCTGCCTCAGGTGTTTGGGAACCAGAGCACCTTCATGTCAAACGGGCTACTGGAAAAACACAAAGGAAATGGACGAAATCTGAAAACAGGGCTCTATTACAGAGTTACTACCTAAGTAACCCTAAAAGTAACCCTAACCAGAGCGGCGGGAGGGACTGAGGGACAGGCGCCGTGTAGGGACAAACAGCACAACAACACGTAATCTTCTATGAAGTTTAAGAAACATTTATATAACAATTTACAAATTAATCATAAAGAATAACATTTCTTAATGTATATTCGTCAATGGATTGTAAATTTTGTCTGTCTTTCTCGTTGACGAAAATCATTTTTTATTTTCGTCATATTTTTATTTTCTGGAAACAATTTTTGTCTCGTCATCGTCACGGGAAAAAGGGGCATTGACGAAATATTTTCGTCATCGTCATGGTTGACGAAATTAACACTGCTGGGAACCCAAAGGCCAAAGTGTGAAACACCTCCGAAGGTGGTAAAGAATGATCAAGTCAAGATCCTGTGGGACTTCCAGATGCAGACGGACCGAATGGTAATGGCAAACCACACCAGACATTGTGTTGGTGGACAAAAACCAGAGGAAAGCTGTTGTGGTCGACATACCAATACCAAGTTACTGCAACATCAGGAAAAAAGAACATGAAAAACTAAAGAAATACCTGGTAGAGAAATACCAGGGGAGGAGGTTGATGAAGATTCCCAGTCATCCAGGTCATAGTCATTCCGTAAAAGTTTAAAAAACAATCCACTGGACTTGGTTTCCAAGATTTGAAGACGTTTCGCTTCCCCTCCAGGAAGCTTTCTCAGTTCAAATGTTGAAGGAGGGACAAAGAGAATTATCAGTGTGTGAGTGTGTGCGTGAATGGGTGAATGACTGAATGTAGTGTAAAGCGCTTTGGTCAAGTCTCCTGACTTGAAAAAGCGCTTTATAAGTACAGACCATTTACCATTATTGTAATTTTAATATCTTGCAAAACATTTACTAGCTCTCAGGTGATATTAACCTCCTGAAGACTATGGTATTTTCCCATTGCATGGTCCGGTTTTAAAGGTAAATTATCAGCCCTATAAGCATTCTAGCTTAGTTGTTTGACCTCTGTGTTAGTTACAGACACATAATATGCTCATAAAAAAAGCTGGACTAATGCTGTTTTTCTTTTTTTTTTTTGAAAAAAAAAGTGAAACAAAACAAAATATATTTCAATTCAATTCAATTCAGTTTATTTATATAGCGCCAAATTCACAACACATGTCATCTCAAGGCACTTTACAGTTCAACCAGATCATACAGTCAAATTGATACAAAGTTTTCTATCTAAGGAAAACCAGTTGATTGCATTGACTCACTGACTCAAATACAATCCCCCACACTAAGCATGCTTGTAGCGACAGTGGAGAGGAAAAACTCCCTTTTCACAGGAAGAAACCTCCAGCAGAACCAGGCTCAGTGTGAGCGGCCATCTGCCGAGGCCGACTGGGGTTCAAGGAGACAGAAGCAGAGATACAAAAAGCAGCTGTAAAAGGCGGCCCCGTCCAGGAAACACACAGCCAGGCAGACGAGCTCCAAGGCAGCTCCCATGCCAGAGGACGAAGAGAGCACATCCACTCAGTCACGGTCAGAGAAACAGGACCACACTGGAAAACAGGCCGATCTCCAACATCTATAAACAAGGGTGTTGATGGAAGCAGCACAGCTGATGTTTCTTTCCAGGATGACGTCACAGCCAAACAGGAACAGACGAGGCAAAGCTACTCTGAGGAAAAGCAGAGAGAGCAGAAGGTTAGAGATATATATCTAGAGATATATAATATAAAAAAATATTTTTTGTTAATGATGTACAGCAGTACCCGTTGGCATCATCATGGTGTGAAGTTGTAGCCAGCAGATAGCAATCTTTTTTAACTCAACAGATTAATAATAATCCACAAGTAATTTGAACTACTCAGATAACTAATTTTAATGGAGCTGCATTATTCTGCCACAGATGTTTTTTTTCACACTGCTGCTAAGTTACATATTTTCTTGTTCATTTGTTTTATTCCTTGCCTCAGTGTCAAATAATGTGTTCACCCTCTGGCTTATTCCACCACCAGTGTCCGGGCCCAGGGGGGAAGACTACTCTAATCCTTTTCTTAAGTTTTTCATCTAAGCGAATGTTAATTTACAACATCAGGGTCTTCTCCTGGTGCCCAAGCTGAACATTTCATTCATGTCAATAATTTTTTTTCTTATTGCAGCTTTTCTCTGTGTGAGTCTCTCCGGGTTGAATTTTCACCTTAAAGTCAAAAATATGTAATATTCCTGAGCTATAAATGTACATTGACCCAATATTCCACACAATAGTTTTTTTTTTTTTTTTTTTTTTTATCATTTAGTAGATTATTATTTGGTGACTAATTATTTCAGTTGCTTATTTTTCCATGGTAAGGGATTTCTTATTTTTTTTTCAGTAAACAAAATTTACATTTTTCACGTTTTTACTAAAAAGCTTTCATACATACTACTAGAAAGCTTTCATAGAGCTTTTTAGTAGTGTATATGAAAGCTTTCTAGTAGTAAGTGTGAAAGCTTTTTAGTAGTGTAAATGAAAGGTAAAGCTTTTCACCAGTTTATATGAACAGTTCTCGCTACTTTGTAAGAGAGCTTTTGATTAGGTTATATAAGAGGTAAATGTTTTCACTAGTTTATGTGAGAGCTTTTTACTAGTGTTTGTGCAAGGTTTTTAGTCGGCAATATAAGAGGTAAATGTTTTCACTAGTTTATGTGAGAGCTTTTCACTAGTGATTATGCACATTTTTCAGTATATTATATAGAAGAGTTTGAATTAATATGTGTATATGCAAGTTAATTCTGATTTATGGCATCTCATATGTAATAGTGCAAAATATTCCTTCTAAACCCACCTGCTTTTATATGGACTAACCAGATCTAATTTATACCACAATACATGCCAGATTTCAACATGATGGTGAGCCGTTTAAACACGACAGCAATAGAACAGCAGAAAGTGGTACTTTTAATTACTATGTTAATAACTGTGTATAGTTCATTAGACGGTTGGTAAAAAAAAAATTACACTCACATAATATGTTTCAAACCGAAATAAAGATATTTAAAAAAAGCTCATTCAAAAAATTATTTTTTACACTACCACTTGGAATTATGCACAATCCAGTGTTGTACATCATATGGGGCCCAGATAATGTTGCTTACAGGCCTATTGTTGTGTCGTTAACCCATAAAAACTATAGTATCTAATTAATATTATTTATTTATTTATTTATTTATTTATTTATTTATTTATTTATTTATTTATTTATTTATTATGTAGGCCTGCCGTCATGTGCCTTGAATTTATAAACTCACAATAAATCGCGTGATGTTGCAGTTGCAAAGTGACGCTGTAACGTTTACTGTTAAAACTCCTCAAGAGTTTAACAAATCCGCACCCTGCTGCTGCTTTCGTCATCACGACCGTTTCTGACGATTACAACAATGAATGTTCGTGTTTGGGATGCAACAATGTTTACTAACTCGCCCTTATCAGCGTTATTGCGCTGCCAAAGGTTAAGTCAGGCCCATGCTCCGTTCATCCTCCATCGATCAGACACGCCTAATGGCATCGCTGCCAATCTAAAGGAACAGCAGTGAACCTGTCAGACCTGTTGGCGCAGCAAGGCTGATGAGGTTTAAAGTAAAACACCGGGAGCTGATTCTCATCACTCCTCGACGGTTCGTTCACACTGCGGGTGTCAATCATGAGAGCTGTTTCCTTTAAGCGACCGATCTTAACTTTGGGATGTGCTGGGTTGTTATTGTACCTGGGAATGTTTTTAAAGAATAATTATGAGGTTAGAGACAGGACGGAGAGGGAGCTGAGCTCAGATCGGACAATCAGGAGCTTCGCTGACCTGAACCAGGGCTTGAACAACCTCTGTGAGTTGACTTTAAGATTGTTTTATTAAAATTACTCATAGCGAAGCAGGCCTATTCAGTTTCAATTTCAAATAGTTACCAATGTGCATTGATTTCTTTTTAAATAATCATACGTCCTATAGAAAAGATGCTGATTTTCATCAGGTGACTTAATTCTGAATAAATACGGAAGAGGATTGTTAACTGATTTTTAAATATTATTTTAGTTTAATATGGGAAAAACGTCAGAATTCTGACTTTTTCCCCCATATTAAATGAAAATAATATTAAAAAAAACATGTTAATTTTTTTTTCAGTGTCCCTAATCCTCTTCCGTAACATTAAAATCCAAAATTCTGAGACTAAAGTCAGAGTTCTGAGAGAAAAAAAAGTCAGAATTCTGAGATTAAAGTCAGAATTCTGATTTTTTTCCCATTAAACTGAAATAAAATATAAAAAAAATATATAAAAATAAGTTCACTTTTTTTTCAGTGGCCCTAATCCTCTTCCGTATCATAAACACATCCGTGATTACTTTATTGTATGTCTCGTACTATTGTGCTGTTCTTTTTACATCTCTTTGCAGGTGATGAAGCAGACTAAAAATCTTTTATTATCTCCCTTTTATCTCCTCTTTCTTTCATCTTTTCTCTTTTTTTTCTATTTTTCCTCTTCTCTTTACATTGCAGTGTATAATCTGTACAACTCCCTGCATAATTATAATAAAGCAATTTATATGCATGAAACAATTGGAACACTACAATAGCCGTACTGTTCCACTTGCGAAAGTAAAACCTGTTGGGCTCTTATTAGCATCAAGACAATTATTCTTATTGCTACATTGCCAGACAGGACACTGTTAAAAAAAAAATAACTCAGTCCAGTTCTAAGTCTGGAAGCCATCTATCTGGATCTCAGACTTTAAAATACTTATTTTAGTTTATTAGTCACCTTAAGTCAATTGTTTATCCATATGCAGCACTTTAAACTTGTCTTTAGAAATAAACACAAGTTATTTGCTTCATTTCCAGAGTTGCCTAAGAACTTCTATTAAAAACATTCATATAGATCTTTTTTTCCAGCTTTTATTGTCATTACACTGTCACAAGTACAGAGCAACAAAATTAACTCTTTGCATTTAACCAATCCCCTTGGGGATTGTATGGCGCCTCAGGATTCCAAGCTCTATGCCCTAACACTAGGCCGCCACACCCCTAACATTTTTTTTTTTTTTGTCCTTTTTTGATCTGTGTATCTGTGGATAGCAGCTATCTGATGTTTTGGATTGCTCATGTTTTGTTTGTTTTTTTTTGTAGCCAAGATCCTGCGTGCATTTGAGCAAAGGCAAGATGCCATGCAGAGGATCCTTGAAGAGGAGAGAGACACACAGAGAAAAGTTTCAGAAGTCCTGAAGCAAGCGATCCAAGTGGGGGCAAAGCAGAAAGAGCAGCACCATGAAGAGGTGCCAATCCCAAAGAAAAAGTCCAGCAAAGTGTTCCCAAATTCTCCCCTGTTCAAGGACTGGGGGGAGAATCTGTCAGAGGATGAGCAAAAAGAAGCCCAGGCTTTATTCGAGAAGTATGGATACAACGTTTTCCTCAGTGATCGTCTTCCTCTGGACAGACCTCTTCCGGATACTAGAGTAAAAGGGTAAAACTGCTATTAAGCTGAAATCCTGGAGGGGACTTCCCACTTCATTGTGATTAAACCGTTTCCACCTGTTACATCCACCTGGTTTGCTCAGGCTACTGTTCTCATGATTATCAAAGACCTTATTAGTAATGGTTATTCTTCTGAATAGGTGTTTAAAAAAGACCTACCCAAAGGACCTACCAACCCTAGGAGTGGTCCTGATCTACCTGAATGAAGCCTTATCTGTCCTCAAAAGAGCTCTACGCAGCATTATTGACCGCACCCCTAAAGACCTGCTGAAGGAGATAATAATGGTGGATGACAACAGCTCTAATGGTAGGTTTCTTCCTGATTGTCCCGAGCAGAAGGAGAGTCAGACCTGAGGATTTACTGTGACTCCACAAACAAAAGCCTTTCCTTTGAATATTTTCTAGCCCAGGAAAAAAAATATAGTTCCTGTTCAACCACTATAGTTACATTGCTTTGAAAATAAAAGGATCTTCTCGTTGGTTTTGTCAAATTTAACCTTTCAGTTGATGCACATTTGAGAGACGAACAGAGAATGACACACCCACAAGCCTGTTGCATTAAAGCAAAGTAGTAAGGGGGAGAAGCCAACAACTGTTACCGCACCAGGAACTATAACCATGCATTTAGCATGCATTTCCTTGTATGAGCCAAAGGATTTTGTTAATAGAAAGTTGTTTTCATTTTTTGTTTATTCACAATACAAAGCCGCTCCTGTGGTCATACCGGCTGCACCACTTCTTTTGAAAAGGGTTTGAATTCCAGCTCATCCTTTCAACGCTTCGCCTGTCACTATTAACATTTACTTTTATTCCAGAAAACCTGAAAAGCGACCTGGATGTGTATGTGAAATCTCTGGAGGATGAGAACCCGAGTCTCCGATTTATTAGAGTGAGACACACAGAGCAGAAAGGCCTGGCGTTCGCCAGAGCCTCGGGCTGGAGGGCTGCAACCGCCGATGTAGTTGCTATCCTGGACGCACACATTGAAGTCCATGAGATGTGGTAGGAATGTGAGCCCATATTATATAAACCGCTGTGTATAGGTGTTTTTACTTAATATGGTATTAAAACTGTAATTTAACCCATAAGATGTTAGAAAGACCCGACAGTATGATCTGTACCTTGCAGCATCCTTCATCAGGGAAGGTTTGGAGTAGTCACATTGTTGTTCTGGAGAAGTTTATCTGTGGATTCAATGCTCTGGCATTTGCAGGATTAAAAAAAAAAATTATTAATATTGATATCCAGGAAGAGTTTTTTCAGTTTTACATATCATGTCTCAATGAGCCCCTTTTCATTTACTTCATTAGTGTTAAACACGGCTATGGAAATTTTTAGGTTGCTGTTTCAACAAGAAGGAAAAGATTGGTCTTATCTTTATGCATTTATTTGAAGGCTAAGTAGTGTTCTGGCACACGATCAGTGAAATATACCCAGAGTTAAAGCTTTACAGACTTTTTATAATGCTGGGAGCACACGCACATTAGAATAGAAAGTGAAAAGTACAAGCAATACCAAAATGTTAGGGGATATGTGTAATAAAACTCTGATCTTCAAAGAAAATCTTCCAGTGAAAAATATATGGTAATCTATTGCAACCTATGGTAACAAAGCTCTGTGTCAGGGTAGCCAAGATTGGAGAAAGTCAGCTCACATGACGTTCAGCATGTAAGCTACTCTTTTATGATGATATGATCACAAAAAGCAAGAGATATTAAATGCTTTTCTTTTAATGCTTTACCTTTGTACTGTACACCGCAGCATGGCAAAGATCATCTGCTAAATCAGCAGGAATGGAAAAACATATACTTGCACATTTTGTTTTAGTGTTTTTCGACATTTTTAATTAAAAAGGTTTTTTTGTCCTTGAAAATTTTGAATAACCCCCTTCTCTCTCTCTCTAAGGGCTGAACCCCTGCTGACCCAGATCAAAGCAAACCGGACAGTGATTGTTTCCCCCGTGTTCGACAGAGTTAACTTTAATGACCTCAAAGTCATCCAGTACTTGCCTGCAGCTCATGCTTTTGACTGGGCCCTGTGGTGCATGTATGAGTCGTTTTCACCCGACTATTACAAATTAAACGACAACTCCCTGCCTGGAAAGTAAGTAGATAATCCAGTTTTTTTTTTCTGAGCAATTAGGATGATTCATATTGTTGCACATTATGTGGTTCAATTCTGAATAAAACAATTAGAGACTAACCAGATACTATAGCGATACAATCTCTTTGAAATGGATGTGTTTGTGTATATATGAAGAACTGCAAACTACTTGGATGGAAAATTATTGCCATCATGGCTTTGTCAAACTGCTGCCTACCTTTGTGAAGCAGGAAAAGGACTAATAAAGTGAATCCAGTAGAGCTTTTTATTGCCCATCTGGAATGGGAGACAGTAGTTGAATAAACTTTGGGCTCTCTAAATGGTATCGGTGCCCTATTTGTTGGTACTCACTGATACCGATACCACCATTTTAGTGCGGTATTGGGGGCCCACCCAATACTGGTATCGGTATATTTGTTAAACAAAAGCATGAACTAGAATTATCTACTGATGTACTTTGAATTTGTACTTTAAAACTTGTACAAATTCACCAGGAGTTTGAGAGAGCTTAATGCAAGAAAAGTAATAAAGGTACAATAATATACAACACAAGCATATAGATATATATGTATACTTTTTTTTTTTTTTTACATTTCTTTCTTATTAAGACATTTCTGATTGCAAAGAGATGTTCATGCTCACAAAGCAGGAGAAGATGAGCACTTTAAAAGTCAATGTATCACTTAACGAAGTCAGGAGGTGTAGTCTCAAAGAAAACCATCACTGATGCTCTGCTCAGGGATTATGTGCAAGGATTCAGACCCCCCCAAAAAAGAAAGAGGATAAGACTGAAGCACATTAAAGACAGTCTTAAGAAGGAAGGAGCAGGTCCTTATATAAGATGACACAAAAGTAGAGCATAGAGATGTCATCTCCACAGTGAAACATGATGCTGGATTCTCTCTGCCTGCAGGGAATCCTGAAAGAAAGGTCCATGTAAATATTTGGGAACTGATGTAGCATAACTGGGTTGAGTCTTCTGAAAACTCCAGAGGAGCAAAGTGAACTGTACTGACTCTGCAGCAGCCCTTATTGATGCCAGTGAAAGTCTGCTGGGTGAAACACAGGGCCATAAGAGAAGGCCTAACCCTAAAAGGGAACCTGTTAAAAAATACTTAAAATACAGAGGATTGCAGGCCGTAATAATAATTGAACTTTGATGATCTCATATTGGAGAAATTTACCTCTGCATTTAACCCATCCCCTTGGGGAGCAGTAGGCTGCCATTGTGCGGCACCCAGGGAGCAGTGTGGGGTTTAGGGTCTTGCTCAGGGACCCAGAGTGAAGGCTGTGGGGATCGAACCGGCTGCTTGCAACTTTCTCAGAGCAGAAGCGCACTGCTCTAACCACTTGGCCAACACTCTCCTCTTTTTTTTTTTTCCAGGATGGAAACCATAATTTAATCTGTTTTCCTTCCACTTTAGGAGCCCTTCTGTCATGGGGATCCTCGTGGCCGACAGGAAGTTTCTTGGAGAAATTGGAGTCCTTGACGAAGGAATGATAGTTTATGGTGGAGAAAATGTGGAGCTTGGAATACGTGTGAGTGATTCTAAATGACTTGACACCGTATTCTGTCTCCTCGAACGAAATGTGCTACTGGTACCCAAATTAGTGGAATAACTTGGCTAATCCATCTTTCTTCTCACCCCATGAGCTACTGTATGCATGAGGCCTGCTTTCTGCGTTTCAACCGTTCCACTTGCTTGGATCCCGCTGTGACCCATCCCTAAACCAAAACAGGAAAAAAACCAAACAAACAGCTATGCAAACAATTCTACCTACTGATCGAAGATAGGAACAATTTAAACATGCCACGCCACTATAAATACTATTACAATTTACAGTGAATATCCTCACAACAAAAAACATTCACATTCAACATCTCTGTTATTCTTTTATTTAAGATTAAAAAAATTGCTTTAGTTAAGATTCAAACACTTGAATAATATATTGATCTGCAATTGTAGTCATTGATAACGGTGAAGGAGGAATTTATGAGTTAGAATTACTCTATCAACACTAGTTGAACTTTTGTTGTCTAATATTATTCTATCTTCACGGTTAAAAATTGCTAAGTCAACAAAAATGTGGTTTTGCTCAGCTTATTTTAAACTGTTTGCATTGAAAGGTAGAATTTGCTTTATCAGTAACCTGGAAAGGTAAACTCCCTACAAGTTGTCATGATGTTTGAAGAGCCCTTTTTTCCTGTAACTGCTTACATGATCTTTTATGGCATGCAAGTTCTTCATTAAGTCGTAAGGATGATATATCTGATAAGACAGATGGTAAAAAAAAATTTAGAAAGAAACTTTCTTGAGGAAACTTTAAAGTGCGTCTATCCTTTTTACGTTCATTGTTAATAGCCTTTAGGTAGTTTTCTATTAATTTCCTTGACTTAAATAAACAAATACATATTCCAAGTGTGTGGTAATGATGGTAGCAGAGAAAGCACAAAACTGAGACATCAACACAAGCACAATGTGCAGGTCTGCAGTGATGACAAGTTTGCAGTTTAACAAATCTTCATGTTCATTTATTCAACAATGAGAAGAAAGAGCAGGAGAATTGTAGTCTAAGAGCAGTGACCCAGTTACCTAACAAACCAACACTCTATTGATTAATTTCAGAGCCATCTTGGGCAAGTAATAAAAACTCAAAAACCAAGTGCAAATACGTGATAAAGTGCAGTAAAACTACTAAATGTAATTCTTCCCAAAGTGTTACTCAGCTAAATGTAACTGGTTACTCACTAACACTGGCTATCTGTAAAAGCAGTGCAGTGGTATAGACATTTATCTTCTCTCAGTTTTAAGCTGTTCCTTTACCTAATATTTAAGAGACCAATATTATTCCCGAAAATAAAGATTTTACACCAGATACTTGAATACAATTGAAACTGTAATACAAGTTTTCTTGCATAGTTGGTCGTTCCTTCCTCCTCCTGCAGCCACTCAACCATTCAACATAACACTGATAAAAATCTGTTTTTGTATGGAAATGAATCATTTTGTGGTCACCTCCAGCTATTTCCAGACAAGAGCTCTTCTATACATGACAGTGCTTCCAATTTTAGTGGATGTCCCTTAAAAGGGCTATTTTTGTTGTAGAACTTTTGTCTCTTTCAATTATTGGCTTTGAAAACCAACAGAAAGGCATAATTCACATTATTTAATAGTTAATGCTAAGGCTGTTTTGGATTTAAGAATATGACGAAAGTACCTTAACTGTCACGATTTGGTTTAAGGTTTTCGTTAAGGACCCAAATACAGAGGCTGACAGGCGGGGTGAGTTCTTAAAAGATTTAATGAAAGAACAGGCAGCAAAAAAGGAATCCAAAAATCCAAGTTAAAAATGTTAAACAAAACCAGGTATCCAAAATTCCAACATAAAAATCAAACACAAACCAGAACCATGGAGACATCAGGGGAAAAACCATCAAGGAGCCAGGGTGAGAAAAAGTAAGATGGGGAACCAGCAAAGGGGGACTGCAGAGGGAGTGTATTTATGTCTAACTGAACAAAGGTAGGACTAATGAGCTGATAAGGAACAGGTGTGACAGGAGCTGATGAGGAAGCCAATGGAAAAGAAGACAAGGGGGCAACAGAGGACAGACAGAAAAACCTAAACAACTTAAATGACTCCAGACACACCAATGAAGCTAGAAAACAAGGAAAAACTTGGCTAAACTTGATACTGAAAACTTAGAGAAAAACAACAGAACCAAGATCGTTACATTAACATTAACAAAGAAATAAACAAAATACAATTGTACACCATGTGCCAAACTGATTACATTAGTTAAAAGATTTTAAGTATAAAATCTCTTTCTGGATAGATTAATTAAGAGTAAAGTAGTGGTTCTCCACCCTGGTCTTTAGACCCACTGTTTGCATGTTTTCGGTGTTTCTCTGCTTCCATACATCTGGATTAAAAAGACTAGAAAATAAACAGGATTCTGCTGTGCTTGAAAGCATTTGAAGAGACTATATAAAGCAAGCATTTGAACCAGGTGTTTAAATTTATGGGCGACAGTGACGTCGGGTATAGGAGTTTGCCCTGAAACTGAAGGATTGATGGTTCAAGCTTCGGCTCCAGTTCTCAGTGTGATTGTGTCCTTGGGTAAGACACTTCACCTGCATTGTCTACTGATGGTGGTCAGAGGGCACGGTGGAGCCAATGTACAGCAGCCTTACATCTGTCAGTGAGCCCCAGGGCAGCTGTGGCTAGAGTGTAGCTTACCACCATCAGTCTGTGTGTGAATGGGTGAATGACTGAATGTGCTTTGGTCAAGACTTGAGAAAGTGCTATATAAGTACAGGCCATTTACCATTTATTTTTAAAGTTCTATCCAAGTTCCCGAAGGTCCAGCTGATGCAGGGTTTAAATTGTTGTACTTCCCTGTGTAAAACCGACAGACCTTCAGGAAGATTTTGCATATTCTGAACTGATAAGGCAGACAAATGGCCTTTTTTAAAGCTCGTCAAATAAACAAAATTATTTCTAATATCTTTACCACAATTAATCCAGCATCATAAAATATATATTCCATATAAAGGTCCTTATCGGTAGCAAAAGGAGAAATCTGTCATTTATTTTGTTTGGTTGACATAAAAACCTCTTCTTCGAAATGATGATGTGTTTTTATGGGTGATATAGGTGTGGACATGTGGAGGTAGTATTGAAGTTGTTCCTTGCTCCAAGATAGCCCATATCGAGCGCTTCCACAAGCCGTACTTGAGAGACCTGAGCCCTGCCATGAAGAGAAACGCCCTGAGGGTCGCAGAAGTCTGGATGGATGAATACAAACACAACATAAATTTGGCGTGGAATATTCCTTTCGAGGTACTAGAACACAATTACAGCCCATGAAATAATGTCATTCATGTGTTATAGTCTCCAATTGATCTGTGAACTGTTAAACGGTCAATTAAAAACAACAACAAAAACTCTTTTTTTAATCCAGGACAATTATTTTTATAACCAACACAAATATAGGAAGACAGCTGTCATGACAGTTATGTGTTGGGTTTGTATAACCCTTAAGCCATTACTATTGAAATGAACCCTACTTGATATATGTCTATTTGTGAGTAATGGAATAAAAGTTAGACCTTTCACAGGAATTTCAGCAGTATGTAAAATCTTTAATGATGTTATGATTCATTCAGGTATATTATACATATTGTAGGTTTATTGGGGGTTATTTTGCATTTTTTTTTTAAACAGATCCAACTTTACTGAGTGAAAACTTGGACCAATTCTATTTCTGTGCAGAATCATGGCATTGACATAGGAGACATCTCTGAGAGGAAGAAACTGAGAGAAAGGTTGAACTGCAAACCTTTTAAATGGTACCTGGACAATATTTATCCCAAGTTGGATCCCTGGGACAACTTGCTTGGTTATGGAGCAGTAAGTCTTTTTTCTCCTTAGTTTATTTGGTTTGGTGGACCTCCTTTAGAGTTAATCTGTGCCTTTTTATTGTATCTCTACCTCATTATCCCTGTTTCTTAACTCTGATGACAGATGAAGAATCTGGATTCAGAGTTGTGCATAGATCAAGGTCCAGTGCCAGGGGACACACCCATTTCCTACGACTGCCATTACTACGGACCTCAAGTAAGTAAATCCAGACAATTACAGCAGTGTTTCCCAAACTTTTTGACTTGTGTATCCATTTGGGCATTTTGTCTTACCATGTATTGATGATTGTCCAAAAGTGGAACATAGAATCACTGAAATGCAGACTATTAATCTATTAATAAACTAATTAATCTTTTAAATTGAGAATTTAATTTTTAGAAATGTATGCTTTCCATCTTAGACTTAAACAACTTTTATTGTTATTTTGTATACGCCTAGTTTATACAAAATGGAATTTTGTTTAGTACAGTTTTTCAGACAATAAAAGAAATTTCCATTCCATGAAGTGGAGCATTGACCAAATGTAAACAGTGTGGTAGGAAAACATGGTGCCAAAAATGCATTGATATGGAACTTCGAAACATCTAGCTTTTAGCGTTCTAATCAGCGTATTTTGTGAATTTGTCTGGAACTATAAAAAGCCGCTGCCTTCAGGTGCAGCCATCTGATAATGTATGCATGTTGCCTGGAAGTTAGTAAGGAATTGAAAAAATAAAAATGAGAAATAAAATATTATACACCTGTATTTATAAAACTGGAGCTCCTCTGAGTAACTCCCTTATAATCACATGTAAACTTGATGAATTGGGAACAAAATGCAGAACAAAAATTATATTCAGACTGACTTAATTAGTTTTACTATGTTTTCATCAAGACACCTGAGCTTGCTTTGATGAGCTCCGATGGCTCATAGCTTTTTAATTGGATCATTACAAAGCAAAAACAATACAGGCCTATTTTATTTTACTTAATTTTTATTTTTTTTTTACAGTATATAATTGGGCACACTCCCCTTAGAAGATCCACGTTTATCTCACCAGTCTCACTTTTAGCCGGTCTCTAATAGGAAGAACCTTCATGTTTTCTCCAAGTGTGGAGAAACATGCATTGTTTCTCATATTTTTGTAATTTATTGACAGAGAGGCATAATTACCTCATCAGCTAGGATATTTTATCCTTCACATTGAATAACAGGCTCTATTTTCATAATTTCTTGACTACAGCCTGGTGGTGAGCTGAAAGCAACTCTTTTTAAATTATAATAGTATTATTTTTCCCTCCATTGTCCATACCTGGTGGAACTGGGGGAAGTTCTTTGAGGAAACATAGAGAATTCAGGATTTATACCCAGACCTCCTTCCTGCAAGACAACAATCAGCCCAAAAACTACCTTAATTATGATTCTTTAATGATTAAAAAATGGGAGCAATTAGCTTTTGCCTTTTAATATAAGAACTACATTTTGTTTTTACTCAGGTTTATTCAGTATAATGTTCAAATTAGTCTGAAAACTTGAAATACAGAGGTATGGAGGGGATAAACGCAGCAAAAATCTGTAATCCCTCTCATCACTGATTTATTTATCTGTTCCATCACTTTTCTTGTGTTTCTCTCTGATATTACAGATGACATATTACCGTGCAACTGGTGAGTTCTACATTGGCGGAATCAAGTCCCACAAGTACAACGACAACCGGTGTCTTACTGATAGAGGGGAGAAGAAAACTGTGCCGGGTTTGTTCAACTGTAAGGAAGCAATGCAAAAAGGGATGGGGATATACTGGGATTTCACTCAGGTACGACCAGAAGAGCTACACTTCAAACGTACACAACATGTATGACATTTAGAGCAAGAAATAAAATGATATGTCTTGACATTTTGTTAATTTTGGAACCTAATTCTGTGTTCCAGGGAAAAGAGCTAAAGAACCGGGAGACAAAAAGATGCCTTGAAATTGTAAACAAGGTTCTTGTGATACAAGAATGCACTGGTCAGCGCTGGAAAATCCAAAATCTAATCAAAGACTCTTGAAGTGTAAATATTGTATCATGTGGGGCTAGGCTAATGTATAAAACTTAAAAGAGAGTATTGTTTGTATAAATTTATTTAGCTGGTGAACTTGGATGAGGCGTTCATTTTTCACAGTTCACTTTGTTCATATCTATGGAAGAGGATTAGGGCCACTGGAAAAAAAAAAAAAAAAAGTTAACTGATTTTTAATTTTCATTTCAGTATAAAATAAGAAAAAAAGTCAGAATTCTGACTTTAATCTCAGAATTTTGACTTTATTCTCACAATTCTGACTTTAATCTCACAATTCCGCATCCTAATGTAGATGGGCACCATGAACGAAGAGAGGGTTAGCACTCACAAAGATGTGAGTTGTTTGGGTGGAACAGTAACACATTGGTGGAAAATGACGGAATTAGGTAACTTTTTACGTGCCCGAGGGGTCCCCGGTGATGCTATTTCATTAATGGAAGACTAGAAGTTGATTAAAACAAGAGAGATAGTTTAGTCTTTAAAACAGACATGGCCATTGCTTGATGCTAACATGTTTGTTAGCTGTCAGAATTCAGTCAGAACTCTGAGATTAAATTCAAAATTCTGAGAAAAAAGTCAGAATTCTGAGATTGAGTCCGAATTCTGAGATTGAGTCTGAATTCTGACTTATTTCCTCATAGTATACTGAAATAAAATTTAAAAATCTGTTAACTTTTTTTTTTTTTCAGTGGCCCTAATCCTCTTCCCTACATATCAGAGGTGCTCATGCTTGCAAAAGATATATATATATTTTTTTGGTTTAAGGTCGGGTGTGAATATAGAATAAATTGATTTTGATTTACAATAAAACTGATCAAAGATGTTCAGTTGTAATCTGTAGAATTTAGTTTTAGATCAATTATCTTTAATGGCTTTATGATGTAAGGTAGAAGGGCCACCCAGTTTTTACTTTGTTTTTCTTTTTCTTTTTTTACCTCTGATTTGATAGAAAAGCTTCTATATGAATGTTTTGGAGTTGTTTGCTGGGTTTTAGCTGGTCTGGCATGTAGAATATATTTTAAACTTAATAGTTAATTTTTTTTTTTTTTTAAGGAGATGCAATATGTTTCAGCTTTCTGGGGTCCGTGGAACTGAACTTTGGACTTTTTCTCTGATTTTTTATCAGAAATCAGATCAAATTTAGTTTTGCTGCTCCTTACATTATGTTAAAAGCAAAGCTGGAATCACATACCCCAAATACCCTTTAGAGAGAGAAAAGTGAAAAGGTTTAGGTCATAATCAGTCCTTGTGAAAAGGTTTAAGTTATCAGTCCTTATATGTTTTATTTTATGAGGAGGGAATGTAGAGAAAGTGTTTTAAATGCATTTAAATATAAGCCTTAACATGAGTTGGTTTTAGATTGTCTTTTAACTTAAAAATAATCTTGAGAAATAATTCCAACTCAGTTAATATATCTAAGAGATGTTTGTATCCAGAAAATAATAGACATTCCCTATTTTATTGTACTGTATTTTTTTTTAATAAAAACAAGCACTGAAGCCTGGATATTTCTTGTTTCTCTGTCTATCTGGTGTCAAAACAAGGACAGGACTGAGGATGCAGTGTAGGTTGGGAAATGGAAACGTATTTTTATGTCCATAAGTACCGGATTCAGTTTCAAAATAAGAATATAAAGATGGAAAAACATTCTTATTTCTAAAAGACCGGTTACTGTTCAGACAGAATTAATTTTATTGCAATAAAGCAGAAATATTAAAGTTTCTACATTATATTACATAATATATATTATATTTATAAAAATATTCTAGAATTGTGCTGCTTCCCTTTTTGAACACTAGTTATGATGCTGAACCACAGCAGCCATAGCAAATAGAGTTTTTATACATATATATATATATATACATATACATATATATATATACACATATATATATACATATATATATACATATATATATACATATATATATATATATATATATATATATATTTATATATATATATATATATATATATATATATATATATATATATATATCAAGGGCGTAGGTCTGATTTGAACTTTGGTAGGGACACTATTGGTCTGGTGTCATTGGTGCTATGCAATATGCATGCCCTTTTTTATGCTCGATGTGAGCATCCGTACTGATAAGAGGAATTCATTGTTTAAAGAGAAAAGCAACATTTTGCTCCATTAATAAAAATGTTATAAGCTCTACACTCATTAGATGCTGTTTATCAATGTTTGAAGTATCACCGGCTCTGATGAATGTGGAATTAGGACTGTTTTCCACTTTGAAAACGGTTTCATTTGAATGACTAAGAGAGAAGGTAAATACAGTATTTTCTTTTGCAGATACAGAATTGTGCAGAGTTAAACCCCACTCTAATATCTGTACCTACTATTCTCTCTCTGTATCAAGCAAAGTAATACATTCATTAAAATATTAACTTCACTATAAAAGTTGAACATCTGGGCTGTAGTTACTCTGTGAAGCCAATTTCATGTATTTCATCTGGGGCTGAAAAAAATGAATCATATTAATTGATTATTTCAATAATCGTCAACTAATTTAGTATGTGATTCATCATTAACTGGCCTTATAGAGACTTTAAAACATACAGTAATATAAATGTAAAATGTGCCTTTCCCCACAGAGCAACCCACTTAGATCAGCTATTATATCAAAATTGTAAAAATAAAAACAAAAAAAATGAAAACAGTAATATCAACTTAATATCTGTAAAAAGGAAACCCTCACATTTTCTTTTTTAGTTGGCTGTGGCTAAGAATCAGAAATGTTGATGGCTTACAGCCTTCATTTGCCCATTTTTCCAACAGTCTTGAGAACTCCTGGCTGCATGGGCGTAGGTTTGCATAGGGACCATAGGGACATGTCCCTACCAAAATTTTGAACCGACCTAATTGTCCCGACCAATAATTGGATGTGAGCAACATGTTTATAATTTACAGCAGTAGTTGTTGCAGCAGAGGCTTCTTTTCCTCTCGCAGCTCCTCTGCCTGGTCTCTCCTGTCCCTTTCATGTAGCAGCGCATGGAACTGTGCTGCGCTGTTTAACTCAACTCTCATTGGTTGTTCTGCCTTAAGTTCCGCCTTCTCTCTCTCTGATTGGCTGTTTTCTAGTCCGCGTGTGCTTGGAGCACAACATTGAAAATTTATTCACACTAGAATGCAGCGGTTACTACAATTAATATTAGGCTACAAAACTAGTCCCAATAAAAAAAATGAATATCATGTACACTAAAAAACAAAAACCTTTTTTTTCTTTTATAAAACGAAATATTCTGAGTCAGCCAGGCAAGGGCGTAGGTTTGATTTCAACTTTGGTAGGGACACTATTCTTCAGTTTCATTGGTCCTTTGCAAAAAATATGCATGCTCTTTTTTAATGCTTAATGTGAGCTTCAGGGCTCATTTTGTTAAAAGAGAACAGCAGCATTTCTTGCTACATTAATACAAATCTTATAAGCACTACATGCACTAGATGCTGTTTATCAATGTTTAAAGCATCACTGGCTCTGATGAATGTGGAATTAGGACTTTTTCCACTTTGAAAAGGATTGCATTTAAATTTACCTGCGACTAAGACAGTGTCTGTTTAACCAAATATAGTCTATAATATGTGGATTTATCCTGTGTTTTCTTCTGAAGATAGAGAATTGTGCAGAGGTAAAACCCACTCTTATTTTTTTTTTAATCTAATATGCTCTCTCTGGATCATGCAAAATAATACATTCAAGGGACGGCAAATACATGTATTATAATTACATGTGCACTGGAACTAGTAGAGGAACTGACACTGAGCATTTAAAATATTAATATTAGAAGTTGTACATCTGGGCTGTTGTTACTCTGTGTAGCGAATATCATGTATTTTATCTATGGCTGAAACAATTAATCATATTAACAAATTATTTAAATAATCGTGAACTAATTTAGTAATTGATTAATCGTAAACTGGAGTATAGGGCCACTAAAATGTGCCTTTAGCCGACAGAGCGACCCACTTAGAGCAGGAATTATACCAAGATTGTAAAAAATATGTAAACATTTTGCATTTAAGAAGTAAAAAAAAAATAGTTTTTGTCTGTCAATATTCTCCATCCAGAACTCCATCCATCCTTTTTCTTTACACGCTTGTCCCAAGTCGGGTCGCGAGGGGTGCTGGTGCCTATCTCCAGCAGTCAATGGGCGAGAGGCGGGGTCCTTCCAGAACTCCTCCAAAGGAAACATTTAAACGTTTCTGTTTCACCTGGTTTCATTTCATAAAAGATCTTCTTTAAGGAGCCTTTGGCTATCTGATTAAAAGATAAAATAAAAGAAATCCTAATGTTGTTAACTTACATTTCTCAAGTTCCACAAATAAAAAAACTCTCTCCTGCTTCTTTACAGAACTCCAATCAGAAGCTTTCGCCTGTTTTAGCGTAGATAATAAGTTTTTAATTTGGACTAGTTTCGTAGCCCAATATTAATTTATTTTAGCGTCTTTTTTTTTTTTTTGCGCTCCAAGCACCCGCGCCACGCCCGCACCAGGGGCGGATCTAGAAAAATATTTATGGGGTGGCAAGAGGGGGGCAGGAATTTTTTAGGGGTGGCAATTTGTTTACACTGAATTTAATCACAGTTATCACAGTTTGGTGTTTCATGTGAAACAGTTCATATTAATAATACATCGTACAATGTGATCTCACTTAATAGGAGATAGAAGAATGATAACACTACTTCTAGAGGGGCCTTATGACAGGAAAGGTATCAAGGTTAGACACAGGTGCTGAGTGGCAGATGTGTGAGATTGACTGTCAGAGAGGCAGCTTTGCAGCATTTGCACAAGAAGAAACTATAGAAAGAAAAAGTTACCCATCATAGATCTATGGACTGAGCTGTACTAAAGTGAGCATAACTACACAGTAGAAATAAATGGGTCAAGGCACCCGAACAAGGTACTGGACATCTATGTACTGTTTACTCTGAACACACATTTACCACATTTGTTCCTCAGTAACTTGACATACAGCAGTTACGGCAACATGAAAGGGACATTTCATGCATGTAAATATGCTGTAGATAGAGCTGTATATGGAGGACCAACTCTGCCATATTTAAAAATAAATACAGAAATAAATAAATGCTCAATAAATAAATAAGCATACAATTAATTGCCACAAAAAATACAATCAACAAATAAATGTAATTAGAAATTATATTA